AACTATATTATCATGAATGCTTTACTGATAGTTTAGGGTGAAGTAATAGTTATCATCAATATCAGTTGCCATGATTCCACTAATAGATGTATTAGAAAAAAGGGAATATTCAGAAAGTGTTATTGCAGAAACCATGTTTTATTAATTAATCAAGCTTATATGAAATGCTTATGAAAAACTGATAATTTCGCTGTCATCTGCATATCCCTACAATCATCTACCCGTACACAACTATGCAAAAGCCTTATTACAACGTACCTGGGTTTTCCTTTTTTTGGACCCAGAATGGCAGATTTCTTAAACTTCAAAATAATAAATGAAAATCACAAACTGCTACATTCTTCTTTCAGTAACAATATCCACTGCACAAGTGTTCAATTCACTGATTCACTCTTCATTGTGCTACCTCAGCCAGCCACCATGTGACCAGCTGCCTATGACCTGCAGCGTACGTCACGCAGACGGTTTCTCACTAAAACAGGAAACTACTCAGCACAAAGTCAGAGTCACTCAGATGGAACAAGGACTCTGTGTGTGCTGTAAAGCTGGCCAACATTTATTAAGGTAAATTTCAAATGAGATCATTTTCAAACATCTGACTCTTTAAAAAGTAAACGTTGCGAATAGAAACGCGGTATCTAGGCAGCAAGTTGATCGCTGTGTGTTTTTCTGTGCGTATCAGTCTTTGCATTGCCCGGGGCATACCTGTTTTTTCCAAAGAAGGGCCTGAGATGTATTAAACATCAAAGAGGCCATGCAGACCTGGGCATCTCTTTGATGTCATCTGTGTCACCTGCTCTCTTTTCTGTACATGTTTATGTGAGTGCATGCTTCGGACCTGTTTAGCATGACGGCATCCTCCAGCGACCCAGCAAACGTTCTATTATAGAGTTATCACAAGCACATCTATGGACACTTACGAGTGTTCATGGCAGCTATAAAATCTATTAATGACAGGCTGTCCTGAGGATAAAGACGGAAAAGCTCACAAGTATACAAGTATGCAGAGCTTAGGGGCCAACCATGATGTAACACGAGGGTGCACAGAGTAGCAGTTACGGGTATGTGCGTGCATGCAAAGTTTTTACACCCGTGCAAACACAATTTTTCTCTCAATGGACATGTCTAATATTGCACAGTTTGCACCAAGGGGTGAAGTGGTTCAAAATAAGTTCTGACACCTTCTTTGAGCGCTGGCCAGACATTTCAGAAGCTTCTGGAGTTCCAGTGAAGCTGTGTTTGTTCAAGGTACTTCATCTTTGTCCACAGATCTAAATTTACAAGACGCAGATCTAGTTCTCCGGGTGGCTTGCATGCATGTGTGCCAACGTGCACACACACTTTGTGATTTGTCCGTCCCTTTAGGACTGTATATTTTTAGAGTGTGGGTAGTATTCTGACCTTTCATTAGATCTATACATAATGCTAAAGGATTTCAGGATGATTGTTGTTTACTCAGGTAACTAGGCTAGTTCATCTTATCACCATGCCTACTTTACATTACTTTACAAGAAATTAAGACAAGTTCCAGTAAAATAATCTAAAATGATCAGTATTATGATTATAAACAGAAGCTTCATGCACTCTGAGCTGAACAATATGGTCCATTTGAATAAAACTCAGCCTATAGAGCGACAACTCAGCCAATGGAGAGGCTACGATGTCCCGTTGACAGGATCCAATAGCAAGTTGCGTGAGATGGTGATTGTTCAAAAGCTATGCTAGAACAGGAAAGAGGATCACTGTGTAGTTCACAGTTCAATTGTCTGTAATAAATGAAACAACAGAAGTACATGTTGAGATCCCCAAAGGTCATGGATATTCTTTTCTAACTCTTTTCTGTGAAGCATGGACGATGCTTTCTGGATGGGAAACCAGGTTATAACGTATTCAAAGTGCTTTATGAGAAGGCAAACAAGGAAATTGTCTTTAAACGCATCAGCGAGTGCCGTTATGCGTCTGTACAAATTTTACTGGGAGCAAAGGAGGAAGTGAGGCGACGTTCTTGTGTGGAGAAGAGGCTGGCGTGCGTGAATGGATCAACAAACAGAGAAGACTGCTGCTTGTTCCTCATTTCAATTTAACAGTCAACATGACGATGGTTAATCCCTAACTTTATCCAAGTATTTATTACTGTAGCCATGAAGATAACGGCCTCCAAACCTTAGTGAAGAAGTCATTTTAACCCAAATCAGATGTCTTCAAAATCAAATTCAAACTATGCTCTTTAACAACACTTGATTAGGTTGCTTTTGTGCCTAAACCCAACCAAACCCTGAAAATCACAAAACGGATTCATTCCAAATACTGTAACACGTGTGTAACGCGCAGACAACAAAGATGTCTAATCAAAAAACTTATTTAGACAAGATGATTAAAAAATTGGACTTGTAGCAAATGAGTCACTTCACTGTTTCGAATGGAGTTCTTGGTATCAGTCTGGAGGATGTCTCAGCTTTTCCGTACGTCTTTGTCTCTCTTCCACCTGTCCCATCAGAATGGGAATCTGCCAAGCCTGACGACAGGCTGTTCTCCCTCCTGCAGCCTGCCAGGGGATGGGAATACACGCTGAGCTCATCCCTGGGCTGCCTGGCTGGTGGCATCCAACAACATAACTCTTCCAGCTTCACTGCATGCCTCTAGGTCTCCCATTCGAGCCAGTCCTTATTCCAGCAGCAACTTTTCCATCAGAAATTAATCCCAAGCAATTACAATTTATCGAAATATAATTTAACTAGATTAGTCCTAACCTTCAGCCTCTGTAAATCTCACCTTTATCCCCCTTTCACCTCAGCGTTAAACAAAGCAACCCCCCTTCAGTACTTCTCTTCTGAGGAGATGGTTGCCAGATTGGACCCCGTACATCAGGGCAAACTTTTCTTCCAACTGACAAGGAGGCACTTGACTCTGTTATTGTTTATGAAGAGAAAGCTGGGGTCAAGTTCACAGGCTGGGAGAGGGAAAGAGAGGGAGAAAGTCTGTTCCAGCTCCAGCCCCAGGAGGGAAAGCATAACTCAGCCGTGTTTGTGCTTCCCTAATACCTTTTGATTTTGCAGAAAATTGTGAGCTAAACTGCAGTGCACAAATATTCTCCAGAGCTTAGCTTCTTTGCCTCACCTCGCGGCCTCTCGCAAACCTGTACCCACTCTGCTCTGTCTGGTCGTGCATGTGCTTCTCTCTGAAAACAAAGACAGTAGCTGCCTGTCTGGCCAGCTCTAAGCAGAAATACAAATGTCTACAAAAGTAGCTTAGCTTTAACACCAGCTTTGGCATAAACACGGGGAACTGTTTTCTCAAGCTTTTGAAGAAGTAACACTTTGCAGCAGCTATTGCTAATTCTAATAGTTTCAATTCCGACAGGGATTTTTGCCGATTTGTTTACGCGTTTGCTAGAATTAATGGGGTCAGCTGAAGCAACTGCGGTATTCCTATTTTCCAACGTCAGAGGCCTACAAATGTTCAGCTCCGGGCTGATGAAAACTGAATTTGTGCATGTCAAAAAGTCAAGAAGTGGTTCTTGAGCTTGTGAAAGATCTCTGGATGCTTCCGAGGTCTTTTTATCTGTCAGGAGTGATTTGAGAGGATGACAGGACAACGGCCAAAACCTGAAGACAACACGAACGCACAAACAAACATGGGGATGAAGGTGAGAGTGGTAAACTCCAGACACAATGTGTGTGTGTGTGTGTGTGTGTGTGTGTGTGTGTGTGTGTGTGTGTGTGTGTGTGTGTGTATCCAGCGCTGCCTCAGCACTCTCTGACTTACACATGTGGTTCGTATTTAAGCCGTAGTGCTGTTCCACTGGACGATTTGGCTCTGTTCTTCTAATCGCACATTCCCTGTTTTTCTCCTTCTGCTCGGCTTTAAGTGGAGCAGATTTCATAAATATTTAGGCGTAATATAATAATATGTATAATGACTTCTCTCACTGAACTACTTTATTTATTTATCAGCCTACAACTCATTGTAATTTATAACAATATCTGATAAATGTTTTTCTGGGCTGGAGGTTTATTTTAGTCTCTTTTATGATCGATCTTTCAAAATGAAGTTTTTGAAAAGGGCAGGAACAGCATAATAAGCAACAGGATACAGAAGAAACAGCACAATACTGGGTCACTGAAATTATTAATGACTGGCACACAATATGTGTGTTTTTTTTAAAGATATATAGAAAAACATTTAAAAAAAAATAGTCTTTAAAATCGAAAACTCCTTTAATAAAAAGTAAAATATTTTTAGGATTGAATTATCTGATTTTACAGGGTTGTAAAACAAATCATTAGTTATAATCATTTCTGTCTGTGGTTACGGATCAACGGCGCACAATAGGACCCTCTCCACCTCAGCATCATCACCACCCCTCCACCCAACACGTACGCACACACACGCGCGCACCTTTCTCCATCCTTTTTAATATCTCTTTCCTCGTCAAACTCTGTAACCCCTTCTTCTGCCCAATGAGCGAGAGGAGCTATCAGCGCGAACCCTCCCTCATGTCTCTCTCTCTTTCTCTCTCTCCCCCCTCTCTCTCAGCTCGGACACTGTCCACCGTGCACTAATAAAGGAGAGATCCGGTGCAAGCATCCGACCCAGCACACAGCCGACAGAACCGCAGTCTCTCGTCTGAAAACACTTGGCTCCAGCGCTGATTCGGACCCTACTTTTGCCCCTGAACCAAGTTAAAAACAAAACAAACAAACAAAACGAAAACAAGGATACGTGTTTGTGCGGGAACTAACTACCGACACTTGTTGCTCGCCTCTCCAGGTAAACCTCCAGTTGGCATCCAGAAGCTCTCAGTGGAGAGTCTGGTGCGCACATGGCACCGACAACGCGCTCCTCTCTTTGCTGACAGCCGCGCTACATGAAGCCAAACATTGGATAATGAGGCCTCCCTGCTGCACGGCTACTCTCACACCTCACAATATCAAGTGAAGTTTGGAGTTTCTTCTGAGATTTGATTTTTTTTTTTTGTGGTCTTTTTTGGTACATTTGGGCTAAAAAAAAAAAAAGTGAGGAAAAGTCATGTTGGGGTTAAACAGGATTCCCAGTCTCCGTGCAGCTCAGATTCAGCGCTGTGGTTCGCCGGCGGGAGCTAGACTCTCACCCCGATCTTCTTCATGCCAGAACGCCGGTGCCAGTTCGAGGATTTATTGCGCGTGTCTGTTGTTGCTGCTGCTTGTGACGCCTCGGGTGGACTCCTCATGGTGGTGAGTCTGCATCCATCACACATACTGGCCTACCTGCTACACTGATTTATTTACTACATCATCATCATTATTACGCTAATGATAATTCAGCATAACGATTTTAAATAATACAAATGCCCACAAAATATAACGGATTATTCTAACGAAACTGAAGCTTTAACTCAGCTCTATTTTCTTTCCCTAGAAAACTGTTCAGGGATCCAAAGCGAGATCAACTGTAACTTATGAAGATTATTTTAATCGCTTTTTTCCCGAAAGCAAAAAAGAAACAAAAAACCCCAAAAACCTTCATTCCAGCTAATTTTCCAGCAGCGAACAGAAAAGGCGGTTATGAGGGTTTGGATCAGTTAATTTATTATCGCGGACGCACTGCACAGCTGACAGTGCTTCTCTCATCGGAACTGATGGCAACCTTTTAATACTCTCTTTTTTCCTTTCTTTTCTTTTTTTGTTTAGAAAATTTTATGCAGAATCTAAATGTGCTGGGTTGTAATAGTCGCATATCTGCCACCACAGATTGAGCTCACGACTGATTTTACGAGGTAGTGAGTGTGAAGAAAAACTCTTAATGCGCTTTTCTGTCATCGTCCAATTTAATTCCAACTGACTCGAAAATGAGCAAAGAGCAGGACAGGACGTTAAAGTAAGAAAAAGAAAATCGTATGAGTTCATGAGTAAGATTCAAACTTCTAAAATGCCTTTTCTTCGTGTGGGTGTGCTGGAATAATAATAGAGCGATAAACGTAATTTATGTCGGCGCTGTTGGCTGAGCGCGTGTTCGGCTCAGCTGGAGCCCGCATTGGACGAGGCACAGCAGTCATTAATTCACCAGGTACCACTCACAAACACACATGACTTCACTAAAACACCACCCAAACCAGCCGCGCGGAGCGTAGGCGAACGGGTTAAAAAATATCTCAGTGCCTGCGCACTAACATAAGTGAAAATGTCCATGCCTGTGAGTGTGTTTACAGGAGAAGTGTCTGTGTGTGGGCAGGCGTAGCGATGATGGAATGCCTAATAGTTTGTGTAGATTGAAAGCAGTTATGGGTAGAGGCTTTGACTTGGCATTACTGACTTTGGGTGGGATTCAGTGTGTAGGAGATATACTGCTTCCTCTAACTGTTCCTTATATTTATTCATAGATTTATTTATTTGTTTGTTTTTGGTGGATGGCTGCTGAGTGGTGACATGGACAGATCAGGAGCTGTACCACCTTAGGGTGGGAGCAAAAATGTTACGGGCTGTTGTAGCCACTTCAGAAATGAGCAAAATAATATGTTCGATTTAATAAAATTGCTGTAGATGTTCATCCGAAATGAAGACTTTGCTGTATTAATTGGGAGGGGACGATAAAACAGAGACGTGAGTGTGTGTTGCTGACATTCATCCTTTGTGCGGGCCTCTATCAGAAGTTTAACTTGGGTTCCTTATATGTAACAGAAAAGAAAAGTAATTTCATATTTACTTGGTCTGTTTTCTTTTGCATTAGTAACAAGTTCTGTCTGTGTCATTTAAAATCAGAGCCCAGCTCGGTGTCACCATGTCTCCCAGTCGTCTTCCTCTGGTGACCCACAGTGCAGCAAGTTGTTTTAGACCTGTGGATAATGATTTACTATCCTATAAAATCCACAAGTCCTCCTTACTCTCAGAAAGAGGGCGAGAGCGAAGAGAGAAAATTAAGTGTGAATTGCTGCTCTGGCACTTTCCTTTGATGAGCACTCTGTTCTTTTTTCCCTCCCCTCTAATCCCTCTCTGGGGAGTGTAGAGTCTCCAGTCTCCATCCTCTTGCCCGGCCTCATAAAACATGGCCACACAGCTACAGGCTCCCTGGCCTCTCCTCACTGAACCGCCAAAGCCTTGTGACTACGAAGCTGCAAGAGGTCTCGCGCTCACGCACACACACCGAGAGGCCTATCACAATTAGAGTTTATTCTGGGCAATCTCAATGCACCATTTATCTTGATAGGACATTGTAAAAGTCTGTTTTATTATGGCGAGGGAGAGAGACTGCAAGAGGCATGCAGGGGAACAGTGAGCAAGATGAGAGCAATCAGGCAGAGGACAGAGAGGAATAAAGTGAGTAAATGGGTTCTTAGTTTGACAGGGTTATTGGAGGCCCCAGACGTCCTGCTCTGATTTGTGACAGCATGATTTCAACTATGTCTTTGGGAAACATTTAAACACACGTACACACACAGGTCTTGTGGGGAGAGGTTAAGTGCTTATTTATTTGGAGAGCGGAGTAAATGGTTTCCACTCCCCTCCTACTCGCAAACCTTAAACTGTTAAGTGTAGTGAACTCTGACTTACAGAGGACTGGAACTGCCGCTCACCACCTATAGGTGCGTGTTTCCACTTGTGCCTACATGTTCTCATAAGGGCACCAGGGTTTAGCAATCAGTTACAATATATAATCAATCGCTCTTGCCTGCTGATTTTTGAGTACGCATGGCCAGGGGATGGTGGATTCAGTTTGAAATAGCTCTAAATGTGTTTGTTTGTTTATCGTAGGTATATCGGCGCACTCGGTGCCCGTGTAATCTGTGACAACATCCCCGGCCTGGTGAACAAGCAGCGGCAGCTTTGCCAACGCCACCCTGACATCATGCAGGCAATTGGGGAGGGAACCAAAGAGTGGATCAGAGAGTGCCAGCACCAGTTCAGACACCATCGATGGAACTGCAGCACACTGGACCGTGACCACACTGTCTTTGGACGTGTCCTGCTGAGGAGTAAGTCTGCGTGTGTGTGGAAAGTAAATGTGATGCCCGAGGGAATGGAGGGTGAAGCCAAGCTCTGACTGTGACTATGGGAATCCTCATTTTCACCTTTCTCGTTCAGTTTTTCTTCCTTTTCTTTCACTTCTCTTTGTTCTCTCTTGCTTTTCCTACTTTACGTATGCTAGTACGCCGTGTTTACAGTCAGTAATGGACTGTTGTAATGCTTATGCCTCATCAATAAACACACACACACATCAAGACGTGGAATTGTCGTCATTTGGTTTTTCAGCCCCTGCCAGAAATTTCAACTTTGCTGCACAGTCATGCATACACACAGGCACAGTCCCATACATATTTTGCTAAGGCAGCGGATGTGTAATTCATCCTCTTGAAGACCTTTACAAGTGAGAACAATCACCTGGTGATTTAGCATTAAAGATTAAATGATACGTTATTCATAATGATTTTCTTTCCCAAATGCTTTCTCAGCACTAAATGACTATTGTTGCATTCTGAATGTAGCATGGGTGCAGGTACAAGGAGTGTCACTGTGATGCTAATCCTTCAAATTACATGCATGGATTATGCTTTTTGTTTCACTTTGTTGCATAGAAGGAAATCCTCCATTAGCAGCTGCTCACTGTTGTGTCGGGGCGCAGGTTGCACGAAAAGATGTTTGTCTCCGCGAACTCGGTTTCTGACATCACTGACTTTCCGTGGCCTGCTACTGCTATCCCAAGCATGTGTGGGGGCTGATGATGCATGGAACAAAAAGTAGCAGATATGGAGATAAAGGCTGCATGTGTGTGTGGGGTGGAGAGGAATAAACAGTAATGTAGATGTAAATATTTAGAGAGATATTCTCACTGTCAGACAAACATCGCAGGTTTGAAAGATGACCAGCAGTGCCCTCCCCAGCCCTCTCCCACATACAACCCCGCCCCACCCCCACTGCCCCCATCTCCTCACAGACGAAATGGGACACTCCAGTGAATACAGAGCATGCAGGTTGGATCGCACAAACTCTTCAGGAGCAGGGTGAATGTGAAGTGTCCCACCCTTAGTTAGCTAAAGTGCTGGTATTTTCATTTCGTGAAACTTAATCCTTTGACACATTTTGAGAAGAAGGTCTCGCTTCACTAATGCAGCTAGGTGCTAAAAGCTTGAAATGCAAAAGCGCTTCTGATGAATGCAGTCAGCATTACTGTATCCTAGCTTCTTCCAGGTTATCAGACAAATGCAAGCATCTTTAAAAGGAGGGCGCACGCGGTGGTTCAGCTAAAGATATGAAGTGCAAATCAAACATGAACATGAGAAATAAACCTGAGCGCTTTTCTAGCCTGAGGACGTTGGATCAAAATGCAAATGTGTCAATTACGGTTTATACTTCCAGGAGCTGAATGTTCTAAGATGATGCTCACTGAGTCCATCCAACTAATGATTTTTGGATTTTTGTTTAATGCCACTTGTTTTCTCAGGGCGAGATTATGAAATCATAGGGCTTTTATCTTTATCGACTTTCATGGCTAATTTCTGTTTAAATATCCTGACCTGGGCAAACTGACAGACCAAATAGCCAAGTTATTGCTTGTGAAATTCACTAGCAGCCAGTTTTTAAAATAGAGATTAACGACCTCATTTCAGTTTCACTTCAGGTTCTCCCGTTTGCTTTGAACTTTGAGCACAGAGACACCAAATAAAAATGGTTTTTATCCCGTCGATAAACTGTCTAAAAATGAAGAAGCTCCTTGCCTCTTGCTGCCATGTTTTTTGGATTGTTCATTCCCGGAGGTGCTGCAAAAAGCAACTGTGACCAAACACTATATCTAATTCTCTCTGTGTCTTTGGCCAAACAAAAGATGAGTCATATTCTAAAGAACGAAAGAGACCAGAAAAGAACAGATGAGCAGAGCAATGGTAGATAATGCTGTCATGACATCACCCTGGCGCTGATTAATGGGGTATCACTGTGTCTGTATTCAAACAATTTATGTAAGCAGAGGAGAGCCCCACAGCTAGGATTATTTCCATGATAATATTTAAACAGAGCTGGTGTATACTCTACTTCAAGCCTGATATGCCCTGTCAGCTGCACCTTCAGTGTCCTCATACCTAGGCCCTGTCATAGCATTATGTATATTTGTGTATGCATGATAACATGTGGGCTGCAAAGTCTTTGGAACTCAGAGAATCTATTGCATGGCATGATATGAGTAACTGCAGTTTCCGTATTCAGAAACGGATTATGTTATTCTAACCTCTACCCCCATCTAACCTCTGTTTCTCATTTGGCTTTTCTGCTTTTACTCTCAGGCAGCCGTGAAGCAGCATTCGTCTATGCCATCTCCTCAGCAGGAGTAGTCTACGCGCTCACTCGAGCCTGCAGCCAGGGGGAGCTGAGGACGTGCAACTGCGACCCACACAAACGCGGACGAGATAAAGACGATAGAGGAGAATTTGACTGGGGTGGCTGTAGCGATAACATCAACTACGGGATAAAATTTTCCAAAACCTTCATAGATGCCAAAGAGAGAACGGTCCGAGATGCTCGGGCACTCATGAACCTACACAACAACCGCTGTGGCAGAACAGTAAGTGTGTGACTGCTATGCATTAAGACACACTGAACATAAGGAACCCCTGATGTGGATGTTTCAAGCGTACATTTAACAACATTTAAAAGCAAACAGACACTTTCAGTTTTATATTCCCGAACTGGATAATCATCAGTGGCTTTCACAGTTACATTGTTACTGAATCTACATGTGAAAACTATGGTGGCCCTGAAAGGTTAAAAACACTGCTGATTAAGAAAACAGGAGCAAAATAGAAAAATGCTGCAAAAGCACAAATAAACATATTAAAGTTCAATAAAACACAATGGACAAAAAATCTCACAAAAACAACCCAAAGAGGGAACTCAGAACTCGTGTGTCAGAATTCAGGAGTGACTTCACTCCCGAGTTAGCGCGTTACAGCGCTAATGGTAAATGGCCTGTATTTGTATAGAGCTTTTACTAGTCCCCCCTAGGGACCCCAAAGCACACACACATTCACACACTGGTGGAGGCAGCTACAGTTGTAGCCACAGCTGCCCTGGAGCAGACTGACAGAGGCGAGGCTGCCATATCGCGCCATCGGCCCTTCTGGCCAACACCAGTAGGCGGTAGGTGAAGCGTCTTGCCCAAGGACACAACGACCGAGACTGAACGAGCCGGGGATCGAACCGGCGACCTTCCGATTACAAAGCAAACTCCCAACTCTTGAGCCACGAGCACCCCGTGGTAAAGTCTTAAAAGTGAAAACAGGATTTGTTTTGGTTATTAGCAGGATAGAACCAGTCATGTACAGCCAGCAATGCAGCATATTTGCTCTTTTCCACTTAAAAGCACGGCTGCAGCACCTTCATGCATAGAGCCTGGTCAGTGCTCTGTGTATGACATGCAACTCACAAATTCACAACAGTTGCAAGTTTTAGAGTTTTAGTACTGTTTACATTCACTTGGACTGTTGGGACTTAGGGTTGGTGGGGGTGTTCCAGATTAAGATTTTGACATCTTATATAATCTGGAAGAGCACAACAACAAATCAATAATTGTATAAGATTTACACACAGTCTTATTAGAGTCTAGTGAATAAAACACACGTTACCCTGCATTTCTTTTTCTCCAAACATTCTGTCTCAGTGCGATCCTTCACATGTTTTGGTTTTTGTCACTTCTGCAGCTGTTTCGTCACATTAATGTCTCTCAAAAACACTTCCATTGTGTTTTGTGTGTTTTTGCTGTTTTTTTCTTAAATTGCAGTGTGGTTGACCTCTCAGGGCCACCGTAGAAACCATCTAGGCAGAGATGAAAACGGTGTTGTCTTTAATTCTAATCCGATGTGACTCGGATTCATTACAAAATTCAGTAGAACATCTCTTTCTGGAAATGGCATCCAGCCCCATGGTAATTTGCTGATGGCAGTGACGTTGGGAAATTCAGTAAAAAACAAGCTAATTAACTCAAAACCTGAGCTGACAAAGCTAAAACTACCCACAAGACATTGGGTGTAGTAAGAGGTGCATTTAATGAGGAAATATGTCATAATTTATATAAAAGAAAAGAAAAATAAAAAATCCTGCAGTGGTGCTGCATTCTGAGAATTTGCAAAATCTCCTTCACTTAGGCGGTGAAGCGCTTCATGAAGCTGGAGTGTAAATGTCACGGAGTGAGCGGCTCTTGTACGCTACGGACATGCTGGAATGCTATGTCAGACTTCAGGAAGACGGGTGACTACCTGAGGAGAAAATACAACGGGGCTATCGAGGTGATGATGAATCAAGATGGGACAGGTCTCACTGTAGCTAACAAGGACTTCAGGAAGCCTACCAAAAACGACCTGGTGTACTTTGAGAGCTCCCCGGATTACTGCCTGCAGGACAAAGCAGCAGGTAAGACGGCAGAACTGAAAGACGGGGAAGCATTTTCTCATGGATGTTGATGGATTGCCCCGACTGTGTTATGTTTTAGTGGTGTTATGTGTATGCTGTGTGTATACTCATGCATGACTAGTGTGTTTGTGTGTGTCCGTGTGTGTGTGTGTGTGTGTGTGTGTGTAATGGTAGTCAGATAACACAGCCTGTGTGATGTCTGTGGAAGCTAATATCCTTGTACCCTGGGGAAACAGCCGTTGACGGCCGTGACCACCTGACCTCTGTCAGTCTCTGTCAACGCACACACACATATACACATGACCCCATGGTCCGGGGATGTCTTCATCAACCTTTGCACAATGCACCTGATCATTTATGTCCGTTTCTGATTGGCTCTTTGATGGATGCATTACTATCAGACAGTTTTTGGGGCACTGACATCAATGGCCGCATCACCGAGAAGCTCTTCCCAGTTCTCCCTCACCCTTGCTCCCTTTGTCTGCCTTTTCCTTTGCCCCTCATCTGTCCTCCCCCTCTTTCTCACCTTCTCAGTGGAATCCAGAGCCTAGGGACACAAGCAGCTAATTTAATTTCTGTCTGTCACAGTCTCTCTCCCTCTCTGTCTGTCTGAACTAAGCATAGCTGGAGGCCAAAGTGGGCCTCAGAGTGTGAGAGCCTGTCTGTCTGTCACGCTCCACTGTCCATTTAACCCGCACACACACACCCATACACACACATAGGGTGGCTTCAAAGGGAGCAGTGGCTTGGGAAAGGCAGTGTAACTATAGGCCACTCTACCAACACCGCATAGTTGTGTGTGTGGGTTTGTTGTTCTACGGGCAGCTTGTTGTGATAGGTAGCAGTTCAAACAGGGAGCTTCTCACACCAAACATGAGCGCTAATCTCGTTTGGGGTGACTTTCACATAAGACACAGACGATATGAAACGGCAACGCTACGATACATTCACTATTGGCCAACACGTTGCACTGATCAAACCTCTGACTCCTGTTGCAGAAATTAAAAAAAAGATTATTATTTGTATTACAGTGATTGCAAAGGCAAAGATAAACGTGTTTATGGGACGTACTTAAAGATGGTGAATTTTTAAAAAAAGTAAATTGTTGTACTTACATATTTCTGTTTTTAGCAGCCAGAGTACCTATCTTCTGATCATGTCTTATTGTATTTCATTTGTGTTTTATAATTCAGACATGCAGCTCTGCCTCTTTGTTGCGCAGCCACGTTTCTAATAAAGATTTTGGTTGCTTGAAAAACAAGACAAAGATATTTATCAGATGTTCAACACATTGGATCCAGGTGTGCTCCTGCAGGGCTGACGTTACCTGCTTGCCTCCATGTTTATCCTTGTGCCAGAATCACTTCATACCTTCTATGGCACAATTTTCATCCTCTTTATACTTCCCAAAGACAGTTTGCTTTGGCAGGTGATTGGTCAGCCATCGGGAGACGTGACCTAACTGCTACATGCTCTTCCTAATGTTTTTCCCCGTTGTCTCTGGGTCTTGCTATGTCTTGCCACTAAACTGTGTGCTTGAGAAATTTCTCTTTTTAAAAAACAACAACAAACAAACAAGATGCTAAAGGTTAAATTTTATGTTTGCAATATATTTAAAAACAACCTGGATAAGAGTCATGTTTACCACTGTGTTATTTCACCTCTTCTTCTAGCAACACTGTAAATGTTTGGGAGCTAAGCAGACTGCTGCAGATCTAAAATGTTTTCCCATTCTTGTTAGATATCAAGGCCTCCTTTGCATCATTTTATAATGCGCTGAATGTTTTCTGCACTGCAGGCAGCCTGGTGGGGCCGTGCTGCAGTAATACATGCAGGATGTGGTTTGCTGTTGTCTTCCTGAAATAAGCAAGTCATTGCCTGAAAAAGACTTAATTTGGACAGCAGCCTATGTTACTCAAAAACCTGCAACATTCTTTTATATATATATATATTTTATAAGCTCTAAATTATGTATTCATTAAAAAAAACATAAACAATGTCTTAACTTTTTAGGGAATTAAGTTTTACTTTTGCTGACAGCTACTAACAAAAGGAGCCAATGCGTAAATGCAGCCATGTTGCGACCAGATGAATTTCAGATATGAAAATAGGAGGGGAAGACAAAAAAGAGTGTAGATAAGGATGACTGAATTATGATCAATCTAAATAATTCAGAACACTTTTAGTGTATGGTATTTTATGCACAAGTTGAGACCTGTAAATCATCAGCGTGACTCTATCGATATCTGACGACAGCCTTGTGTTTAGAGCTGAGTAAGTAGCAGAGAAGTGAAACAGGACCAGTAAATTCTGTTTTGCCATTCTGTTGCAGGTTCCCTGGGCACAGCCGGACGGGTCTGCAATAAGACATCGCGCGGCACAGACGGCTGTGAGGTCATGTGCTGTGGGCGTGGCTACGACACCACGAGAGTCAAGCAAATCACCAAGTGCGAGTGCAAGTTCAAGTGGTGCTGCTCTGTGGAGTGTAAGGACTGTGAGGAAGCTGTAGACATACACACGTGCAAGGCTCCCAAACGAGCTGAATGGCTGGACCAGACCTGAGGACACGCCCCCTACGCTCCCTGCAATGCAACCCCGCCCCTTTCCCCTGTGCAGGATATCCTGTGGAACACGGCATTCTGGGAAAGTTTGTCCAAAAGTGCTCTGCATCTCCGCCTTCCCCTTTCCCGCAACCTCGACTCAATGCATGGCTTTTCTCCCCGTCTCTGTGAAAGCACTAGAATTCAGTACCCGTCAATATGAATTAATACCCATTAGCCCCTGTTTGTGAACGGCCCTGAGACTGAACTGCTGGGATCAGATGAACAGTGATACCACCTTTGGGGTTCAGGTGGGTTAGGCTTTCACTGAAGACTCAGTTGTTGGGTTGAAATGGTTTGCTGCTTTCATGATGCTTTAAAGACGAATTTTGACATTAACTGAGCCTTCAGACATATCCAGTATTATTACAACAACATCATATACTCACATAACGTTGCTTCGTTTTGGGGGAAACACACTTTTACCTAAAAAAGAAAACGAAAAAAAGAATACTAGGTTGGACTTGGTAAGTGCAATTTGAGTGGACATCTGAGTGTAAGTTTGGCTGTGTGCGGCCAAGCAGTCCAAACAGAGGACTAACAGACGACGGAGACACAGACATTGTGTTATTGGAACTTTGAATGCGACTGCGAAAACCAAAAAACAGAAGAAGAAGGAAAAAAAAGCTGTTTAAAGCGATTTATTTAAGCTGTAAAGTGCTGTTTGGTTTCTCTTTCGAGGAAGACGCTGCACTACATTGGCTGACAAAAGGAGAGAGAAGAGCACTCCCATTACTGTGATTATCTGGTGTGCTCCAGTTTTCAGCTTGCTGCTGAGAAGAAGATGAAGAAAACCGAGGCCTTGATGGCTGTTCAGTCACACCAAACCATAACATCAGACAGATTTCACTTCTTTGCTCTTCATCTTGCTTGTATAACATTGTGTATATTGCCTTATCTAAGCAGATGTTCATATGAAATATATGGTGCATTAGTCTGACACTGGAATCCTGGTTTTTTGTTCAGATGAGCATATTGAGGCTGCAGAGCCAGTCTGTAAACATTACATGCTGTCATAACGTGCCGTGTTATTGCCATCACACACACACACACACACACACACACACACACACACACACACACACACACACACACACACACACACACACACAATGGAGCACTAATAATACAATCTATGTCAGTACAAAGGCTGATTCTGTGTGGGTTGGGGAGGGTGTGTGATATCAGTCAAGGGGAGGGAAGTGTTTGATTAAAGGCCCAGCTTAAACCCCAACCCCTGCTGGCCCTATCCCACCCTGCGCTATGTGGAATTCCAGGTGGGTCCCAGGCTAATGACTAGATGGCTGTAATTACCCGGGGCTGTTGATAGCTGGTGATTGGACATGGTTGTGCCACAGAGGACCTAGTGTGGGCTCCTGCTGGGACCACATTTAATCAAAGGCTTCTTGGCCGGCTTATCAAAGGGAATACTTTTCCAGCAATCTTCTTTGCTTCAGCCCCCTCAGCTCCCCAGACTCTGTCCAGTTCAGTCTCAGTTATATTAGAGAGTCCAGAGACTCCCGATAAGATGTACGGGATATCACATACAAGAACAAAAAGACCTGACAGATAAAGCTTTGAACTGCTGCTTCTTCCCCACAGCTAAAATTTGTCCTATTACAATTTTTTGATGCAAGGTTGTAATACCTGAAGCTGTTTCAGAAACCATCCGTTCTTCTCCTCAGCCCGGAGAGATCATCTCTGGGCTCTCTGCATCTGCAGGCTCTGGTCTGGAGACCACAGTGGTCTTTTAATAGCCATGGGAGGCCAATATCGTTAGATAAGATAAGCTTTATTGTCCCTTAGGGTAATTTTATCAAGCCATTCCAGTCACTGAGACTATTCTAGTGCCAGCGTCCGGTGGCAGAGTCTATCTGTGTCCTGGATGCCAGGCTGGGAGCATTCCAGTTCAAGAGTATGACAGGCAAACCATTACTCTTTGCTGCTGGCAGGCAGCAGGAAGAGAAGAGGGAGGCTGTACTAACTGAGGGGACAAATAAAGCATCAAACAACACAGAGGGTTTAAAGGATACATCATTTTCTTGGTCAGCTTAGATCCTTTCCTGTTTGGTTACTGGCACAGTAGGTTAGGATTACTCACTAAATTAACTGCTGCATTTAGGATTTTTTTCAATTGGGTAGCTTAACTAACACAAACAGTAAGATGCAGAATAGCCAAAGTAAACAAACCAAAAGTAGGACACAATTTTGCAAAGATCCGTCACATTTTAGAGACTGCACCGCTCATCTCGAGGAAAGTTTTTGGAGGTGGTTGGTTTTCCAGTACAGCGAGGAATTATTTCATGATTACTGACATTACAGGTGTGCCAGCGTGTTCTGACTTCCAAATAAAGAAGCCCCCCCTTTTCCCCTGTTGTAGCAGCGCTTGCCATGTTTCCAGTTCTCAGCAATTAACTTAGTGGGCTATTATCAAAATCAATACAAACAATGGCCAAAGCTGTAACATAAAATCTAGGCTGTAGTAAATCAAAGTTATCCGTTAATCCCGTAAGGCCAAGTAGCCTGACTTGGATCACTGCTTTGAGAGGAGCTTTGTGGTAAAGTCACAAGGTACAAGCGCTGCTCAGATGGAGCTACATTTTCTGCATTTTCTCTTTAAAAAGCAGAGAGCTTTCAAACTGGTTTAATGAAAAATGCTGCTGTAAGTGTCTTTGGATTTTTCTCTCTCTCTCTTTTTTTTTACAGTTTTTTTTTCACATTTTCTAAATTTTTAAGTGTTTTTTCATTTTAAACACTTGCTCTATATTTTCTCTGTCTTGCTCTCTAAGCTCCTCCTGTGTCTCAGTACTGACAGTTAAAAAGATTGATAAACCTTATGCCCCGGCTGTAATGCATGTCAGTCTGAGCTCTGGGAGCCAAATGACAACAACTCTGAGAATAGAGAATGAACTCCGGTTACATATAAATCCGTGAACACTCATGCTAGAGGTACATAGGCAGAACTTAAGCTTACACTGGAAGAGAGATTTTAATGACAGTGGGGAGGAAGACGCTGACTTAAACTGGTAGATTTAGGAGAGAAAGAAATGTATAAGGTTACCCAGAGAGCTGGCGGGCATGTTTATCAGCAGATCCTAATCTGAGCCAAACTATGCTCCTCACAATTCATCATCATTACCCGCCCCGTGTGGCACATCTCTTTGACCGCCCTCCATCCACCTCCCCCCTCCCTCGACCACCTCCGATACAGGCGTCCTGTTGGTGGGAATCTAGCCGGAGATCCACCTTGGGGGTGGTCTGGGTGTCGGCCATGCGATCTGTTTTGCACACATATTCACATGTACGTACCTGCACGCTTGTATAGCACCCCATCACTGCTCCCTGAACTACCCTATCACCTGTCTGGTAAAACCCTCAGCGTGTTGGCGGTCCTTCCTACTGTGTCACTCACCGATCATGACCAATGCATCGCAACATACAAGTGTTTGTGTGTGTGTGCAGTGGGATGAGTTTACGCCTCAAGGCCAGAAGGACCTGTTTTCAGGTTTAACGTGAGTCTAGTAAGGTCGGGGGTCATAAAGTTTAGGCGTATTAACAGAAAAGCTCTGGCACTGTGAATGACCAGCAGCGATTTGCTGCCTGTTGACACCTCCTAAACATTAAGAGCTTGCTCATGTAGCTAAGCTCTCCTCAGGCTGGCCAGCAATGAGGTAAAGCTATTCAGGAGAACACCTGCTTTGCTGGATTTAAATCTGGCCTGCAGTGAGCTGCTCACTCTTGTCAACTCCTTCACTCATCTTTTATTCTTTTGCTCTGCCTCTATTTGATGTGATGGGTGTCAGCCATTAGGTATTACACGGTGTAGCTTTGCAGAAACACTGTTGGATTGGAGGGCCTTTGGGAGCAGCAGGAGGTGCAGATTTGTTAGGGAGCTCAAACTAATATTTACGTGACCTCCTGAGACCTGCCTGAGGAGTGTAAAGACAGAAAGGGAGGAAGAAAGCACGAGTATGAATTGATGTGTGCTTTAAGTGGAAAAAGGGATTATGACATTAAAGATTTATCTGCTGAGATCCACTGCAACTGCCCTCCAACCCCCAAATTGTCCAGTTTTTCACTAACTGCTGCCTTTGCTCAGCCGCTCATGTAGCTGAGTGACTGCAAAGCATTGTGGTACAGCAGTGCAACGCCAAAACTATAGTCAACACACTGGTCTGAGAGGCTTGCCAAATCAATTCTGGCAAAAAAAACTTTCCTCTAAACCTTTTCATTCACACATACTGTTGTAGATGCAATATTTCCCTTGCTTTTGCAATTTGCTCCAACTGACGCATACAAGCATATGTCAGTGGACCTAAAGGAATTTTCCAGAGCAGAAAGCTTGTTTGACCTGGTCCATCATCAATTTGTCATCACTAATATATTCGTGATTTAACTCCTGACTGCTGGGCCAGAAGTCAAGCTTAGTGTTGGCTTGAAGAATACACAGGCGAGAGCTCAGTGCTGAGCCGGAGTCAGACAGTTAGAGAGTTAGTCGCGGTGAATTCTTCACCGTACAAGGTGTGGGCCGCAATGTGACGAGGTTTGTATATGTGTGTGACAGTGAGAGTGTGTTTATCTCCCTCCCTGTGTGGGGATTTACAGACACACCTCGCAAGGCACAAACAACAGTGACCTGGAAAAATAGCCGAAATTCCACCAACATACCAGGAAATCTGGGGTTTAGGCTGACAATACACAAGCAAGACAGAGGTGTGGGAAATGGGAGAGATACAGGGTCAGGGTGTAGGCCTCACAGATACAGATACCAATGAGTGATACCAGCTGACTCACACTGATGCTGACACTAACAGTGATAGCATGGCTACCTGAGTGGCATTGACAGATAGATCCTGGAGCGCACACACAATCACGGCTTCTAATTAGCATGTGATGTGCCACAAAGCTATCCTTGTTCCTCAGACTTCTGGAAGTGGGAACAATATCTAGTGTTACCAGTGTTACAAACCGTCCAATCTGATCTTAGTAAAAGTCCCTTTTTTGTTGAGGTAAAGTACTTTAACTGCACATTTAATCTCTGGGATTTCCAACTTTCATAAAAAGAAGTGAAATTTCAATAATCCCAGCTTTTCTACATGATAAAGAAATGCTTTATCGTGCAATGTCGTGGTTGAGCTGAGAAACATTTGTTAGTAGGACTGAAATTACTGTCCTGTGATTATAAAAAGTTTCTGTTAATTCACAGAAAAATTCCTATTTATTTATTTATTTTACTGTGGAATTGTGAAAAACAAATTTATATAGCCAAAAGTGGAAAAACATGACTTTCCGCCTCATTTAATTGATTATATGTTACTTAATCACTTTGGTGTAATATGAATGTCCGTGTGGGTGAGATTGGAGTTTTTGCTGGGCCCATTCTGGGCCTTACGTTGGACACCTCTGTTTTAAAAGATCTCAATAACAATGTTAAGAGGCAAGAAAGTAAAAGCATCCACTGGAGTGTATACCTGTACTCAAACACGTTCACAACTGTGTGTTTGTTGATGCTGAGAGTGGTGTAGATGTGTCGAGTCACTGGAGTCAACATCCCTCTGTCAGTCTCCAATCGTCCTCACCTTCAAAAACACAAACCACTGAAGACACACACAGTTTCAGCCATGTGACGGATCCCAAACTCTGACCGCACAAACAAACACTCTCCATGTGGAATGTGGGAGGCTGTTGTTTGTGTTCGGAGGTGCACATTTATCCAGTGTTCTT